ACAATTATATCATCACCTAAAATTGAACATATGGGGGATAAAACAGTTCCTCGTTCTAAATCCATGGAATATTGGTTGGATCTATTTTGTATGGGCTTGGTTGACAATGAAAGAAGCCAACTTACATTGGTTATTTTGTATGGAGCACAGACATGTTTCCACCCAAGGTTTAGCGAAATGGCAAGTTCTCACCCCTGTGTTCATATAATCCAGATTCTCCACTCTTAAATTAATACCGTTAGTGATTGTTGGGTCTAACACAGATGTAAAAGTGTTATTACCAAACTGTTCTCCCATCTTCTTCTTCTTCATCTCCCCCTCTTCTCCATCTTCACCCTCCCATTCCTACGTTGGCCTCCTACGACACCACCACTAGCGTCCCGTCCTCCTTACACCAAAGCCCCCATGATTTCCACTTGATTGCTCCTACCAATCGTCGGTCAGCACTGGTTTAAGGTTATATATTACGGTCGATGAGATTGGGATTTAGAATGACCACTTACCCTTTAACTATTATATTAAACAATTAAGGGTGCGTTGGTTTAGTATTTTGGATAGGATTTTAGGGATAATATTGGGTTATTGGATAGGGGAGTATTACGAGAAAATTTTAAAAATTATGAAAAAGCCCTTAGGTTTACTAATTTAACTAAAGACCCTAACATATAAATGACAAAAAACCCCCACCACCTGCAGTGTCAGATTCGGCCACCACCGCCGGAATCTGGCCGAAAAATTTTGTTACGGCACAGACCGGTCGGATCTGTGCCGTAACACGCGTTATGGCTTCTCGGCCAGATCCATGGTGGATCTGGTCGGGAAAGGCCAGATCTACGGTCTGTTATGGCCGTCGACGCGGAAAAGGCCAAACGAGGGCCATCTTGCCGTCAGCGACGGCCAAAGATGTGGCCGTGTTTTCGGTCAACGACGGCTAGATCTGGCCGGAAAAGGTCACAACGGTGAACTTCCGGCCATTTCTGGTCGGAAGTTAGGCGTTGTACAGATTCGGCTATCACCGACGGTGGTTGCCGGAATCTGACAAGTGGGTTGATGGAGGTGTTTTTGTTAATTTTTAAACTTTTTTTTTAGGGGGTATTTAGTGAAATAATAACCTTGGGGTTTAAATGAAATTAAAAAAAGTAGGGGAGTATTTCTGGAATAATGTGCCAAACATTATTTGGAGAATAGGATCCAGAATAGGGATAAAAATATTAGCCAAACATGCAGTTTAGTTAATTTAAGGGTGAGAGTCTGGAATATATAAACTAGGAGTGGTAACTTACCATTTCACTAAACCTTGGGTGGAGATGTCATTTGCTCTTTTGTATGAGCCTAATGAGAAAGGCCCATGAACTTGGGGATTATTTATTTACGCTAAGCATCCAACCATTAGTTAATCTTGCTTTAAACCATCATTAACACTTTTCATTAAAAAATAATCTCAAGTTTGGGTTAAGGTTCACAACCTACACCAAAACTTACTTAATCATACAATTAAGAGTTAAAGTATCTTAGCTAGCTTAGATACACGGCACTAATTAATTAAAGAACGTCTTTGAATCAAAGTTAATTAATTAATTAACCATCATGCTGGGTGATATTTTAGTAGATTTAACAAAAATTTAAACTCTGCTTTGTGATCGACAACTTAGAAGTTGCATGTTTGGATTCTTCCCTTTAAAGGAAAACAAAAAAGCTAATAAATAATTGCCTCTCTTAGAAACAACTAAAATTGGATCAATTTGAGCTATAGAATTTGCATTTATTTTGTTGTTTCTTCAAATGGGAGGCATGTGCTTATGAAGTTCATTGCATCCTTAATTGATTTAGGCTTTTGATAACCCCAAAAAATAAAAATATTATAATCTCTTTTATTATTATTATTTAAAGGATTTTATTGTAATATATGAGCAAAGCATGTGCTATATGTCCTTAAGATAAGGCCAGAACTAATTAAAATGAAATTAAGATTAAGTTTTATTTGATTGAGAAATAATTTTCGATAGTAAGATATAATAGAGAAATTAATGAATTATGCACTTTTTAAGTACTCTTTATAGATTATATGATTATTCTTTTTTCTTTTTCTTTTCTAAGTAAACTCATTATTAAGTTATTTAAAAATAAATAATTATCAAATAATGTTCATAATTTTGAAAAATAGCTTATACTCAATATAGAATCAAAATATCAATGCCTAATTACATGAAAAAGGAAAGTACAATTAAAACCAAAAATATTGCTGAAAATTGATAGGAAAAATGATTTCTGGAAAGTATTTCATTAGTATATCAAGTGTGTTTTTCTTTTTATTTTTCACGCTATTTTATTTTAATTTAATCTAAATTAGTGTCCTCAATTTATAATGGTTATATGTATTAGTTTTCAAAATTATGAAAACATATTGAAATAAATTTAATTAGTGAGTGAAATTTGAAGAAGGGATTTTCACTTTGAAAATCTTAATACTTTTAATCTTTAAAAATGTGTTTGATAAAATACTTCTAAACTATTCTTAAAATTTAAAACTATAAAAATAGAAAAAAAAAAATTTATTTTAATATAAGAGCTAAAATGACATCTAAAAACTACTTTTGAAAATTCTATTCAAAATTTAAATGTCAACCGCCCAAGTATTTTAATACATAAATTAACACAATTTTTAAGTTTTTAAATTAATGTATTTGAACGGTTAAAATTTTATACAAATTGTGTCAATTCTAAAATGCATTATGTAGTTATATTGAGTCTCAACCATCCAAAGTATTAGATTGAAATTTCGCAGTTAACTTTTGAGTTTTACATCAAAAGGCATAAAAAATGCGTTATAATTTAGGTAAAAAAACGTTTCATATTAATTCTATTGGATCAAATTATCTTGATAGAAAATTTGATAGAACTATTATAATACAAATTCGAAAACTTTGATGATTTAATGACAGAAAAAATTGAAGAATTGACAATGAAAATAATTACTTCTAACTTATCATTTAAGTCCATTGAATTTTGATTGATCGAAACTATGGACAAAAAACCTGTTTAAATTTTTTCAAAATTTTGTGTTATATAACTTAACTTAACCCAACTTTATTGCATCAAGGGTTAGAAATATGATAAAATAACAAAAATCCCCTTGAGATTTCAGAAATAACATAAATTTCTTTACCGTTAAGTTTTAGGTGTTAAAATAAATGGTGAGCGGGTAATTTGATAATATTTATGAACTTTTAACTGCATATATCTTAATGACTCACTAACAATTTCTTAACAGTAGAGTGATTTTTGTTATTTTAGAAACTTCAAGGGGGCGTTTGGTTTGAGGTTATGTGGGATTATTAGGGTTAAGTCATATTATATTACTTGATTATCATATTTGGTTGTCAAGTAATATAAGATACTAGTAATCTTCAAATTTCAATAGTGGTTACTATTGATAATATTGGAGGTAATCTGATTACCTCAATTTTCTTAGGTATTCTAAGATTACTAAAGTTATCATTTTTTGTTATAATTCTATCTCTTATTAATAAAATTTTAGGACAATAATGCTCTTATTTCTAAATTTATTTACATGAATATAGTTTTTACTATTTCACCCCAATTAATTAATTTTTTGGACAAAATTACCTTTGAATTCAAAACAAATTGCAGCCCGCCCAAGCCACCATCGCCACCCACCTGCCATCGGCAACCACCGTCGCAGCCAACTGTTGCCTAAACGGTGCACGAAAGGCCGAAAATGGCCACCGTGTGCTGATATGGCCATTTCCGGCCAGATTGTGCCAGATTTGGCTGTCAAATGCCAGATCTGTCACCTCTAATGGTGCACGAAGGCCATTTTCTGACTTTCTTGCGTTGTTAGGTTGCCGGCTGCCAACGGCCTACGGTGGTTGCCGGCGGTCGACAATGGCTGGGTTGGTGGGGGTGCTTTGTTAATTTTCCAAACTTTTATTATGGGGTTTTTTTTTGCTAAGTTTTTAAATGCAGGGGGGTTATACCATCCAAATAATAATCAATATTAAAAAATAATATAATAAAATATTTAATTAGAAGAAAATTCAGTAATTTAAATAACAAACTCACCAATTTATTTCTCTCAACCAAACATATTAATATAACATACTCACCAATTAACCAAACACATTTTCCTAAAGATTCACAGTAATCTTCAAGGTAATCCAACATTCCTTAAACCAAACGCCTCCCAAGGGAATTTTTGTTTTTTATCATACTTTAGGAAGTTTTATATTTATATCCATATAATAATATATGAAACATTCTACCTTTACCTTAATATGATCTTCAAGTATTATTGAAAATATTAAATAAATTAAAAATCTTAACTATAAAGTTTTAACATATCTTGCAATGCCATGCAGAAAACAAGTAATGGAGGTAGAATCTTTAGTTTGCTTTTATGAAATCACTTTTTCTCACAGCAGCTTTTTTATTTATTTCTTTCACCCTCCAAATTTGCTTTCTCCACTCCCTTTCTCTTTCTTGTATTATAAAATTATTTTGCTCTTATCCGCCATGCGTGGCATCTCCTGATTAGCCGAGCTCTATATTAACAACTTTCTAATTACCAAAATACCCTAACTTTTCCACTGATTGGATAATTTTAGAGAGAATTCGGTCTTTTGTTTCAACTATTAGCCTTTTAGTCATTTCACTTAATGAACCATTAGTTGATCATTAATTGATTTGAAAATTATACTGAAAGAGAAATATGGTATTGTGTAATGTGTTTATTTGATAACTTTAAGGCCGAAAACATAAGGACTAAAATGTAATTCCACCTAAAATTGTACCCAATAGTATCATTCCAAGTGGTTGGTACATTGATGATTTCTGCTTTGAGAAGCTTCGGCATGCTTTTTGCTTGTCACCCACTTTCACATTCACCCCACTACCAAAACCCCTAAAAGCAACTTTGTGCTTTTTGCTTTCTATTTAAATCCACCAAACACAGCCTTATTCTTCATGCTAACCCTAATCTCGGAAATCACCTCCAAAATTTCCCTTCTCTTTCCTTAACTTTTCCTGGTTTCTTTCTTTGTCTGTTTTTCTTCAGATTCTTCAATTCATCTCTGTTTAATTACAACCCAAAAATGAAGAAAAAGGCTTCCGCTTTCTTCAAGAAAGTGATTTGCCTATTGAGTTCTATCGTTAAAGCAAAATCCATGTCTGTCAAGAACAAAACCAGCGCGGTCAAGGCTCGCCTCATTATGTTTTCTTTAATGAAGAACAAGAAAGTTCTTCTCGGCACGATCTCGAACAAGATTCATGGCCTCCTCGGTCACCACGATGATCATGAAGCTGATCAGAGCAAAGCCATTGTTCTCTACAATGCCATCGCTGCCACGGAGCCAACTCAGTCGAGCTCGAGCTATACGCATCAGCTGGAGTACTATAACAGCGATAATGACAACGATAACGAGAAGTATCCAGATCTTACTCATTCGTTATTCAACGAAGAGGGTTTCGAGTTCGACGACGATGACGATGACGATGATCAAGGCGGGTCGATAATCGATCTGGTGAAGAATTCTAAAGAAGAAGGAGGGGAGGATTTCAGCTTGGAAGAAGAGATTGATCATGTTGCGGATTTGTTCATAAAGAGGTTTCATAAACAGATGCGTTTACAGAAGCTTCAATCTTTCAAGAGGTTTCAAGAAATGCTTGCCAGAGGCGTCTGAAAAAATAAATTTAATTAAAAAGTAATTAATTTTTAAGTAAATATGGTAATATTGTAACATTGCATGCATGCAGTTTCATTAATTTGTTTCTGTGCGTTAAAATTTTCAGCTACGTGTTATTATTAACTCGTTTTTGGTTAAACAGCTTCAACCGATAGTTGATCTGATGAGCTTTTATCTGAATAAATACAGAGTAGTGCATATGTGCTATAAGATGTTCAAAGTTTGGAGAAGTTCAGATCAGCATAGGATCAGAGATCACTGTATATAAGTGCTTTTTTAGGAGAATCTTGCTGCTTTTATTTAATAAGCAAGCTCCATTTTCAGGAATCTTGAGACAATTATATATATATATATATTAAGTAGCTTTTGATCTGGGCATTTTTTGCCTTTGGAAGTAATTGCTTCCTTCGAGGCCGATATGTTGTAACACTATATTAATGGTGTAAAGTTTTGTTGTATGAAATAAAATTGGATCTAATAAACCAATCTTGTATTTCAATTTTACAATACTAGCTAATTAATTAATTTATTGAACACAAATTGCTCAAGCTATGTAGTCCACGTCTGAATCCATGTCTAACCTCTACTTTGATAACAAATTAATGTTATGTGCCCAGGCATCTCAAAAAGTTAATTAACTTTGCAGATTTGAGTTTGATTAAACCACTTTAATTAATTACCTCTTTTACAAAGTGTTGATTGATGTGGTTTATATGGTGGCCTCAATTAACCATTGAATAAATCCCACACCAAATATCTAATACTATTTATCATTTTCTTTCTCTCTTCAATTTCTATACGGTACAACATTATGTCATGTGAAAGACTATTAATCATAAAATTTAATATTTATTCCAAAAATCAACATTACATGCCGAAAATTATAAAAACAATAATAAAATTCTGTACTTAGAAAAGGGAAATGATTTTTAGCCCCAATACCTAATTAATTATACTCCCTCTTCCCAATTTCATATTTGAAACTTACCATTTCTTCTTCATATTCAAATTCATCATTTTGTGTGATTACTTTCTCACTATGTTTAGTAATATATTTTCATTTATGTAAGAAGTAGAGGTTAAAAATTAAAACAAAAATGTAAAATAGAGTATGAGTGCATTTCTAGTAATTTTCATTAAGGTTAAATTATTAAACAAAAAGGATACTAATAAATTTGATACAGGCTAAAAAACATTTTCCAAATTTGTATCGGAAAGCCTAAACTAGTCGGGCCGGATTTTAAGTAATTTTGGGCCCAATAAATCAACTTTGTAAACAAAAGCCCAAAACACACACCTTTGGCGCTAAAATTTCCCGCCAAAAAGTATCTTCATGATGCCACTTTTGTTACTTCGCTATCTCAAGCCCTAACCAAAATCTCATCTTTCCACTTAATCCATCATCTTCACGATCAATAACCCAATGGCCGATACTCCATCAACGCCCGATTCACCGACGTCCGCCGGGTTCAACTCCGACCAGCTCCCACCGAACACCAGCCAGAATTACTCGACGGACGATGAGGCGGCGGTGGATCCCGAGATCATCAGAGACGAGCCGGACGTGCCTGAAGAAGAAGAGGAAGGAGAGGATCTGTACAATGACAATTTCATGGAGTAAGTTATTAGTTCTGGTTATTTTTAGGGGTTATTTTTTTGGTTGATTAGGGTTTAGTGGTTGATTTTGGAGGAAATGAAATGTGATGCAGTGATTATCGGCGAATGGATGAGCACGATCAATATGAGTCGCTTGGATTGGATGAGTCTCTTGAAGACGAGAGAGATTTGGATCAGATTATGGCGGATCGAAGGGCGGCCGAGATAGAACTTGATGCTCGCGATGGTGTTGTTTTAACTAACCCTAACCGAAAAAAGCTTCCTCAGCTTCTTCATGATCAGGGTAAGGATTTATTTTTGATGATTATATTGATATTAATTTTTTTTTTCATTTTCAAATTACATTGTTTTTATAATTTTATTTTACTGAGAAATGGAACTAGGATATAATTTCGGGTTGGATTTTGTAGCCTGTCGAATTATGCTAAAAAAAATCAGTTTTAGTATTATTCAACTGTTGTTCGTGTAATTGGTTGTGTTATTATTGTATTTTATAGTTTTCATTGAAATATAGGTTTGGGGAAAAATATTTGTTGATAATGTTGAAGTGTTCAGTTTGTTGAGTACTAAGTTGTGTGGTTTGACAGCATTTTTTAGTTTGGAAAAATCTTTGTAGAAAAGATGAATTGGAGGGTATTGAGAATTGAAAAAGAAAGTGACTGATAAGGTTATAATGTTGGTTTTCTATGGTTTGGTTGCAGATACTGATGATGACAACTATAGGCCTTCGAAGAGGTCTAGAGCTGATTTCAGGCCAAGAAGAAGCCAGGATGATACTGATGGTATGCAAAGTTCGCCAAGAGATGATGTACCCATGACTGATGCTACTGATGATTATCCATATGAGGATGATGATGGGGATGACACTGAGTTTGAGATGTATCGTGTTCAGGGAACATTGAGAGAGTGGGTTACCCGGGATGAAGTTCGTCGTTTTATTGCTAAAAAGTTTAGGGAATTCTTACTAACCTATGTGAGTGCCAAGAGTGAGCAGGGTGATTTCGTATATGTACGTTTGATCAATGAGATGGTGTCAGGTAAAGAGTCTGCTCCAGCATAGGTTTTCTTTCATTTTGGGAATTATTAGAATTGAAACAGTAAGAGATTAATGTTAAAATTACACCTTTAATGTTGCTTATGCAGCTAATAAATGTAGTTTGGAGATTGATTACAAGCAATTCATCTATGTCCATCCCAATATTGCTATATGGCTGGCCGATGCCCCTCAATCTGTCCTAGATGTCATGGAAGAAGTAGCCAGAAAAGTTGTGTTCGATTTACATCCAAATTATAAAAACATTCATCAAAAGATATATGTTCGAATCACCAACTTACCAGTTTATGATCAAATTCGGAACATTAGGTAATGCTGATGTCTATTCGGTATAAAGAAACGTTTTTCCCTTATGGTCTCCACCTTACTCTTTCTTTGGTTGTTGCAGACAAATCCATTTGAACACCATGATTCGTATTGGGGGAGTTGTGACTAGACGTTCTGGGGTCTTTCCCCAGTTGCAACAAGTAAAATACGATTGCAACAAGTGTGGGGCCATTTTGGGGCCATTTTTTCAGAATTCATATTCAGAAGTCAAGGTTGGCTCTTGTCCTGAATGCCAATCAAAAGGGCCATTCACTGTCAACATTGAACAGGTGATGCTTCTACTACCTTTCTGTTAGTGCCCCTTTTTTCTGCTGAAAAATTCTTACTTTCATTTTGTATTTTGGTATTAACTGAAAACATATGAAAGTACGAATTTTAATGAAATGCAAGTTGAAACTGATATGTTTATCTTCCATGCCATGTTGCAGACCATATACAGGAATTATCAGAAACTTACACTCCAAGAAAGCCCAGGAATTGTGCCTGCAGGACGGCTTCCAAGATACAAGGAAGTCATACTGCTGAATGACCTGATTGATTGTGCCCGCCCTGGAGAAGAAATTGTAAAATCCTCTTCTTGTGTGCTTGTTCCTTGCCTTGGTCATTATACTTTTGTTGTTATTGTAATATCTTTTATATGATTTATTTCAGGAGGTCACAGGGGTATACACAAATAATTTTGATTTGTCCTTGAACACAAAGAATGGATTTCCTGTATTTTCCACTGTGGTTGAAGCTAACCATGTTACAAAGAAGCATGACCTGTTTTCTGCTTACAAACTTACCCAGGAAGACAAAGAAGAGATTGAGAAGTTGTCTAAAGACCCACGGATTGGAGAAAGGGTATGTTACTGAAGTTTATTTTGTCAACAATGTCCTTGTTGTACCATCATCAAGTTCCTTTTTTGATTTGTGTTATGAACTAAATCTCTCAGATTATCAAGTCAATTGCGCCATCTATCTATGGCCATGAGGACATAAAAACTGCATTAGCTCTTGCTATGTTTGGAGGTCAAGAGAAGAATGTTGAAGGGAAACACCGACTTCGTGGGGATATAAATGTACTTCTCCTAGGTGACCCAGGCACGGCAAAATCACAATTTCTGAAGTAAGCACTATCATAATCTATTTTGAAATGACTTAATTGGCTTTGTGATGGTGATCATGCATCTAATCAATCTTGCGTTTTCTCTTTTCGAAGATATGTTGAAAAGACTGGGCAGAGAGCTGTATATACTACCGGCAAAGGAGCTTCTGCTGTAGGTTTGACAGCAGCGGTGCACAAAGATCCAGTCACAAGGGAATGGACCCTTGAAGGAGGAGCTCTTGTTCTTGCTGATAGAGGAATTTGTCTCATTGATGAGTTTGATAAGATGAATGATCAGGACAGGTAAGGTTGTGCAAGTCTCTTCTAAATTTACATAGTTTGGTTTAAACTTCCAACCCTCCGTCTTCTCCTCTTCCAAAGAATTTATCTGAGCATCAACATTATCAGGGTGAGCATCCATGAAGCAATGGAGCAGCAAAGTATAAGCATATCAAAGGCTGGTATTGTTACTTCTCTCCAGGCCCGTTGCTCTGTAATTGCTGCTGCAAATCCAGTTGGAGGAAGGTATGTTTAATGATCAATTTATCTGTGTTGGAAAATTATCTAAGATCAAGGGGAAGTTAGATTATCACTGTGGTTGTTATTTATGCTTGAGTTGACATTGAGGGCTTTTTATGTGATTTACTGCCTACTGAATGGACCAATTGATACAAGATTAAAATCATTTAAAATTTCAGTTCTTAATAAATTTTTCTGAAGTAATTATTACTTGTATATTGATTAAAACAACCAAATAAAGCCCCCCTTCTTCTATCAATTGGCCACCAAACAGACAGATTGAATGTGCTAAAAAATGAATTATTTACTTGTAAGTTTAATTGATAAATCTTATCTGCTCATGTTTCCAGATATGATTCCTCAAAAACATTTTCACAAAATGTTGAACTGACAGATCCTATCATCTCTCGTTTTGACGTTCTCTGTGTTGTGAAGGTCACTATTCTGAAAACTCAATTTCTCTCTATTCATGTTACCTTTTAGTTGGATTTAACAGAGAAGGAATTTGGTTATCAATTTCAGGATGTGGTTGACCCTGTAACCGATGAGATGCTTGCAAAGTTTGTAGTAGAGAGCCATTCCAAGTCACAGCCCAAGGGCACTAACTTAGACGAGAAATCTATGAATGATGCTGGAGAAGATATTCAAGCCTGTGATAGGCCAGTTGACCCTGAGGTCTATACTCTGATTCCTACCCCATCTTTAATTCAGCTTCTGTGGATTTGTTTGCTATTGATTATTGACTTCAATAATTATGAGAGATTTACTTCCTTTGTTTTTTTCAGATACTTCCTCAAGATTTGCTTAAGAAATACATTACTTATGCAAAGTTGAACATATTCCCAAGGTTGCATGATTCTGACATGGATAAGCTCACACATGTTTATGCTGAGCTTAGGAGAGAATCTTCGGTGAGTCACTTTCTTTTCCCCTTTGATCGCACTTTTTCTCACTCAGTGATTTATGCAGTGATCTTGCTTATTGATATTCTGATGGTAAATCTTGTTTCTTTCATAATAACCCTTAGCATGGTCAAGGAGTCCCCATAGCTGTAAGGCACATAGAATCAATGATACGGATGTCTGAAGCACATGCCCGAATGCACCTCAGGCAACATGTAATACAAGAAGATGTCGACATGGCAATTCGTGTCCTACTTGATTCATTTATTTCAACACAAAAATTTGGCGTTCAAAAAGCTTTGCAAAAGGTATAGCAAGAAATCCTTTCCCTTTGGTTGTAAATACCTCTCTAAATATCTTAATTAGCTCTATTCATCTGACATTTAATAGTGCTTTTATGGAGCACAAATACAATTAGATTTACGCACAGTTATAGGGAAATGATGCACTATTAGACCGCAATCAATTCTACTTAAAAGTAATTCCTTGCAGTTCTTTGATGTTGAGAAGGAACATCATCGGCAGCTAACATTATATGACTTATTCAAACTTTTGCCATTTTGATCACAGCGAATTGACTATTTTCTTGTGGTAATTGTGGGACTTTGCTACTTTTATTTTTTCTGAGAATAATGTTTGATAAAAATTTAATATTGTTGCAGAGCTTCAGAAAATATATGACTTTCAAGAAAGACTACAATAGGCTGCTGCTAGAACTTCTTCGTGAACTTGTGAAGAATGCACTGCACTTTGAAGAAATTGTTTCTGGGTATAGTTCCACTTCAACGCTTTCCCATATTGATGTTAAAATCGCAGAACTTCAATACAAGGTAACAAAAACTTGAGGCTCTTCTCACAAATTTCTTACCAGATTAGCTTCCAGAGCCAATCACAGTACTGACATTTGAGTTTAACTGCTCTCTGTACAGGCACAAGAACGCGAAATTTATGATCTACAGCCATTCTTTTCTAGTGCTGAATTTTCTGGAGCTGGTTTTCAGTTGGATGAAGAACGAGGAATAATCAGACACCGGTTAGCAAGATGATACAACAGTTTGAACTTTACTCAGGAGGCAATCATTCGTCAGTGTCTTCTCAACAAATTATATGCACAGCTGTGTAGGTGATGGAAGAGCAATCTAGAAATGAGAGACAATGCTGGTTATTGGTTTTACACAGAAGACTTTTAACAGGATCCAAAAAATGTTCAACTCTATATTGTATTAGAATTTGTTAACTCAGTGCTTTCTGTTCAATACATACCCTTCTCCTGATGCTGAACTCAATTGTAGCAGTTATATATTTATACATTTGTAGGTCTATATCTGAGACGAGCAGACAGTAGGCTTCTTTATCATGGATGATCTCGACTTCAAGTTGGCCCAATAGGGCACTGCAACACGAAGAGGGAGAATCAGGAACACGTATTTGTATTACACGGCCTAAAAAGAATCACATCACTACATGAAAATTGTATTGAACGTTAATATGTATTGGACTATGATTATAATTTTTGATGACATAATTAGAGTTATTAAGTATGAACATATTTAGTTATTAAAAGAACTTAAGATCGTTTATGCATTATAATAAAACAAAAACGAAATGAATTTTGTAGCTCTTATTGGTAACAAAATAAATATGCTTTTATTCTATTTCTATATCATCATACAAAATAAATATTATAAGTTTAATGTCATCCTCGCTTATTGCTGACTAATAAAATAATATAATTTTTTTTAATAACAAGTAGTGCATAATCAAAATGATTTCATTAATTTTAAAATAAGTGATAAAATAACCCATTTGATATTTTAATATGTGGGTGGTGATTAAAAATTCATTTTTGATAAATGTAAAAATAAGAGAATTATAAGTGTAATGTGATCCTCACTTGTCGTTGACTAAGAATTGATAAGAGAGTGAATTTGTTTGTTTAGTTGGTTTGAAAGAATGCAGAGAGTGATAACCCTTTCAATAATACTATACTTACAAAGAAATCTTACAAAGATTTCCATACAAAGTGAGGTGGCAAAAAATGAATGGAAGAGTGAAATAAAAAGTCAAACTTATTAAGTTCACTCTTCCATTCATTTTTTGACACATCACTTTGTATAGAGATCTTTGTAAAATTTCTTTGTAAGTGTAGTATTACTCTAACCCTTTTGCTTCTGCTTTTTGGTTTCTTTGTTTTCAAGACCAAACCTACTTCTGACGTCGTAATTTTTCTCTCTCATCTTTTTCTTTTCCTAATCTTTTCTTTCCTTATTTTTCTTCCCTTTCTTTTTTCAGATATTTTATGAGTCGTTTAACCAACCTTTTCATGGCCGGTGGACTGTCTCTCAAAACCATGAATATCAAGGTTTGTTTCACTTCACATTTATTTCCTCTACTGTATTTTACTAATGATTCTCCTCTTCAATAGGTGTGTGGAAGCATTCACAGAGTGAGGGGCATGAAGATTACGGGCTTCTTGTGAGTGAGAAGGCCAAAAAATATGCCATTGTGAAAGAGCTTGATAAGAAAGTGAAATTGAAGGGCCAAAAAACTGTATTACAGTATGAAGTTAGGCTCCAAAATGGGCTTGAATGTGGGGGAGCTTACATAAAATTTCTGAGACCCCAAAAATCTGGATAGAAACTTGAAAATTTTGACAGTGAAGCTCCATATTCCATCATGTTTGGACCTGACAGATGTGGCACCACAGACAAAATTCACTTCATTTTCAACCACAAGAATCCCAAGAATGGAGAGTACACAGAGCATCACCTCCAGGAGCCTCCTTTTGTGCCATCCGATAAGCTCTCCCATGTCTACACGGCAATAATAAGACCTGATAATAGAGTCTCCATTCTTGTCGATGGGGATGAGCGAAGGATGGCGTATCTGCTTTCTGTGGATGATTTTAAACCCCCATTGATTCCACCTCATATGATTCCTGACGAGAAGAATAAGAAACCTGAGGACTGGGATGATCGTCCGACAATTCCAGATCCATCAGCACCAAAGCCTGATGATTGGGATGAGGATGCGCCTCCGATGATTGAAGATGAGGATGCTGTAAAACCTGAAGGCTGGTTAGATGATGTGCCTCCGGAGATTGATGATCCTGATGCTTCAAAGCCGGAAATTTGGGATGATGAGGAGGATGGTGAATGGGAACCCCCAAAAGTTCCTAACCCCAAGTGTGCTCCGGCACCTGGTTGTGGCAAATGGAAGAGACCGGAGAAGAAGAATCCTGCTTACAAAGGAAAGTGGAAGCGCCCTCACATTGAAAACCCAAAATTTAAGGGAATTTGGAAACCCCGAATGATTAAGAACCCTAACTACTTTGAGATTGATACCTCCAATTTTGAGCCTATTGCTGCTATTGGTATTGAGATCTGGACAATGCAAGAGGATCTTCTGTTCGACAACATTATGATAACTAGGGATGAGCACGTTGCTAGCCGTTACAGGGACACAACATGGAAGCCAAAGTATGATGTAGAGAAAGCGAAACAAAAAGCTGAGGAACTTGCTCCTTTAGATTTTGTCACCAGATTCCAGGTAAGCTAGTATTCCTCTAATACACAAGGATCTCTTCATATTATAATAACTTCATATTACTTCCCACCATAACTAATTCTTCTGAATAAAAATTGCAGCAATGGGCAGTCAACATGCTGTTCAGGATAGCAGACCACCCTCACATGGAAGCATACAAACATCACTTTGTTGTGCGTGAATAAACTTGTCGTCTGAATAGAAGTTTTGTAGAAATCTGTAGCTCTATTTACTGTTTCGCTAAATCCAGCTAGGAGAAGGTTTACAACAAGGATTGTATTTTGCAGGATATCATTGAGAAAGTAGAAGATCAACCTAAAGCAACACTTGGCGTTTTCATTTCCATCATCGTTGTTATTCTGACAATTCCCTTCACAATCATCTTCAGCATTAAGAAGTCTTCTGCAAGTGTAAGCCACTAACTCGAACATATTGCTGGGACTATAATTTGACACACTTGTACTGACATTTTCATCCTTCTAATATGCAGGTCAATGTCGCTGGCAAGAAAAAGGACAATGCTGCCACCAAAACTTTGAATAATCAAGGAAGCAACAAAGAAAAGGAAGATGAGATTGAAAAAGAGAATGAGAAAGCCGCAGTTGCTGTTCCTCGTAAGAAGTCTGGGAGAAGGGATGCTTGAACGAGGCATATGAATGGCCTCCAGTTGTTATTTTAAGAAATTTTGATCAGAATAGGGACTTCTGTCGCTAGATTATTTCTAAGCATCTGAATTATTTAATTTTAGTTATGTTGCACAGTACTTTCTATAGATAGGCAAACCCTCTTGCCTGATAAGTTGCCTCATGTACTTCTGGAAGTAATTCTCATCATTTATTTCCATTTGACAGTTCATTGTTCACCATTAGAAATCCATCTCTACTCATCCTAGACAACTCGATAAAATCTCTTTATATAGTACGGCACTAAATAGTGCTATTTCCTGCATCTCTGCTCTGTGTCTTCAATATCCCCAAATTATCAAACACTGCTAGGCAGCAGACCAAATATCCATGTTAATCCTTGAAAAATCACTAAAAAATTGTTAATTTAAATCCAGTCACATACAACTCAAGCATCTTTCAATATTGAACCGAACTGGAATATCAGAAGTCAAACCACACTGTAAACCCTGTGACGCTAATATGAAGGCCTAAATGACTAGAGCATCAAGATTTGGAATACTGAAACTACAAAAATCCCCACATGAACAACATCCATCCTTAAAATGGTGGAAATAACTCTGGTCCTTTATTATTATTTCCTGCCCACTATCTTAGATATGACTTTGAAAATTCATGGCAACTGCGACACATTCGAAGGTTTTTAGTAACACGTACAGTTGCCCCTGCTTGTGTACTAATTAGACCAAAAGACAGCGCCAACATTTCACTATGCCCATTTGAATGTCTCCCGTTCTTCATCTACATCATGGAGGCTAAATCTGGATTGGGCCTATGTCCTTCATCTTCCAATTTCTTCAGCAAACACTCTAACTCCCAGTATATTCCCTCTGATCTTGGGTGGGATACATCGCCTGTACCAAATACATGAATTTTGTTTCGGAACCTACCCAACTATAAGCTTTCTAGGCTTCAATCCCATGTCTCTAATCGTCTCTCTTAGTTTATCAACCATATCCCATTTTGCACTGTCAGCATACCAATTTGATAGTACTACATAGTTCTCAGCGTTAAGAGGTTCCATCACAAAGCTGCTCAAGACCTTTTACCTATCTTCACTTCCTGTGGATTCTGCACCATCCAGCAATGCTCCAGTACCTCTGGATGCCTTCCAATGCGATGTTCCTCAATAAAAATCCTTGCTTCATCAAAGAGTCCAGCACGAACAAGAATAGTAACATTAGCGACAGTGTGTGACCTTAGGTGCCTTAATACGGTTAAAGTAAAACCAACCTTCCTCAACCATGCATGCAGTGTACAAGCATGGGAACAGTAGCATAAGTGAACTGATCAATTTCACTGCTCAAATCTTTCTCCATTTCACGAAACAAACTTAGCCCTACCTCTCCTTGTCCATGTGAGGTATAACCGAATATCATCACAGTCCAAGATATAACATCTCTCTCCTTCATCCCTGCAAAGATATTTGAAGCATACTGAATAAAACCGACTTGACATACAGTCCATGATAGATTCTGGACCATAATATTAAAGTCAATCCCATTTCTAAGCAAGTAACCATGAATCTCTTTACCAAGCTTATGCGCTGCCATTCTCGCACAAGCTGGAAGAAACATAGAAAATGACAGCGCATCAGGTTTTATTCCATCTTAACCATCTGCCGAAGCAATTTCAAGCCATCATTAAATGCTCCGTTTTTCACACAAGCACCAATCATTAGTCCACGATATAACATCTTAGACGGCATTTAACAAAATGCACGAGCATCTTCAATACTATCACACAATATACATTTTCACAACGAATTACCACCAACACATCAAACTCCAACCCACATTTCCTTGCAACGCCATGAACTTTTCTCCCTTCCTGCATCGATTTCAACACACCACAAGCCCCAATAGCCGTTGCCAACGCAACATGATCCATTCAGCACCTAACTCCACCCTTCTATGAACAATTCAACAGCCAAACCGGGTTTATTTTGCATCATGTACAACCTAGCCAACATTGTCCAAGAAACCGAATAAACCCACTATAACAGACTTATCAAACCCATTTGGCAGAATCAACGCTTTCAAGCGGCATAAAAATCAATCAACGCAGAGATAACATAAAGGTCGAAGAAAACCCAAGTTTAAAACATGAGCGTGAACTTGTTTGCCAAAATTCAAGTTACAGAGCAACGAGAGGCGGTCAGAACTCGAGGGAGCGTGTGGTTGTCAGGAGGAACGCCAAGGAGGGCATTTGATGATTAGATAGAGAGCGCAGTGTGAGGTGTTTGTTAGTCAGGTGGGTTTGAATAAGGTTGTCCAAGAGAATGTATTTCTGGCAGAAATTTGTCGAGCAGTTGGTGGGGGGAAGTGATTTTTACGGGGTTTTGAGTTTGAGGTAGAGGGTTTTGTTCGCTGTGTCGTTTTGAAGAAACATAAGCTGTGTGGTGATGAAAGGGTAGTCATTTTGGTTAGTTGTGCTGGGGTTTGGGTTTAATGGTTGTGTTTCGTAATGGGGAAAGGCAAACGATTGAAATTTAAACTGGAGAGAAGACTTGAGTGGGTAAAGATCCTTCAGTTTGGGCGGAGATTCCTCGGTGCATATTATCCATCTATTGTTCGAGTAAAGAAAACTACTTTTCTACGTCTACTACCACTAACCACCAGATGCATCATATGATTACTTTAACTTATAAATCCCATTTATTTTTTAGATAATTATCAATGACTATTTAGCTACTTCATCCCTTTAAAAGCACAATTATCAATAATAGGAAATTTTTATTGAAGGATTTAAGAAATTTGTTAAGTGGATGGAATATAATATCACTAACACGGGGTGTTTTTAATAATTCAAATAAAATGGATTAAATATTAATCAGTATCATTGGGGTGAAAAGTGGGGTGTTCGGTTCCAGATACCCTATATTTTTTAAGGATTGGAACCGAAAACCGACGGTTCCTTGAAATTGGAATCGAAACCGGAACCTGTAACAACGGTTTTGGTTCTAGTTCTGGGTATCCTATAAATTACTCTTACCCCCAAAAGTTTTTTAAAATGGCAAAAAAACCCTTAAAAAGTTACAATACCCCCCCCCCCCCCCCCAAGCACTTGTTAACAAAAATAAAATTACAAATTATAAATTCAAAATTACAAACTCCATTACTTTGTAAAGGTAGATTCTTAAAAGTCAAACCAACTTACTTTAAATGTTATGAAAAATAAATATAAATGTATTCACATTATTTTTTCTACAAAGGTTTTTATTAACCCCCTACTCTTTAATTTTATTTTATATTAGTCTCAGTTCCTAGTTTCGGTTCCAAAAATTTGGAATCGAAACCTACCAATTGACGACCGGTTCTGGGTAGGAATTGGAACCAAACCCCAAGTACCTGCTGGTTCTAGTTTCAATCGGTTATTTTGAACACCCTTAGTGAAAAGTACATCAGCCATAAAGTAAGGGATTGGATAATCTTCAAATGTGTGGAGAGGTCAAAACTAATTTTTCATACCTTTGGGGGGTGAATGTTAAATTGAAACTTTAGGGGAGGTGAGGGTTATAATTCTTTATGAAATTTATTTATTTTTTTTTTTTAAAAAAAAGTTAGAAAGTATATATAAGAGTCTTTTAATATTAATTTACTTAAAAAGGTTTTTATTATATACAAGAATAGATTAAATCAAATTTAAAATCTTGCAAGCACTTTTGAAATTCAACCAAACAATTACAAAAGTGCTTTTAACTTTAAATAAGCTCTATGACAATAAAATGATATAAAATAATGTTAAAAAATAAAACTTTACAATTTTTTTGTAGGGAAAAATTAAAAATTCATATTGCATTGAATTTGTGAAACTTTTTCATTCTTTATATGAAGTCAACAAAAATTCAAGTTCATTATCAAGTTATGGGTTTGAACTTTTAAGTTTAAACATGATTACAAACTTAATTTTAATCATATTTTATTTTTGTTTAATTAAAACCAAAAGAAAAATATGAGAGAGAATTTAATTGAACAATTTGGATTATATATTGAAATAATAAATAGACCTAACAATCTAATGGGAACTGAATTTTTTTTATTTTTTTATTTTTTTTTTTGACAAGTTTGGCCTTAATTAAAATTAATAGAAATAACATTATAATTTTTAAATACATTTTTCTCTATTTCATATTTTCGTTTTAATTTTAACCTTTCATCTTACATAAACCCTAATCCTAAACTTTCATTACCCTAACCTAATAAGTTAGTTTTGTGTAGATGCAAAAATCTACGGTTACGGAAAGAAAGACTGATCTCGTGAGGTTGAGACTATTAGCGATCTACTACACCTGCACACGTGAGAAAACAAGCGTGAAGCAGATGGAAAACACCAGGGTGGTGTTTTCCGTAGGCACTCCGATGCTCAAGTCAGCAAGGTTGAGCGAGGCTAGTTTAGTGAGGGTTAGGGAAAGGAAAAGTTACCGAAAGTCTATCCGGGGACTGTGACTACGGCTGTGATGTGAAGTTCTTAAGTGGGAACTCCAAGGTCTGAAAGTGTAATGTTTCTCCTTTTGTGAAAGGGCTAGCCTCTATTTAAATAGCGACTGTATGGTCTTCGAATCCTGGTAGGACTGGGAGTCCTTGTAGTGGTAATCCTCTCAAAGGGTGTAGCCTTTGGCTCCCTTATCTTAGCAGGAAAGGGAGTTCGAACGTGCCTCAGATACGGACCTTGGAGGGGTTGGGATAGTAATTGACTTCCTTAGCAGAGTTCAAATAGGAGTGTAGTTCGTAGGCGACTTTGGGTTTCGAGTTGACTGTAAGCCTAGAAGGTGTTCCAAGGTCAGGAGGCATGGGTCTAGATGGTGAGAAGCTGGGAAAGCACACTGAATGGGCCTCATCTGCAGAACTCTGATTTGGGCCCCATCGAAATTGGGCCCGAGCTTCCAGCTTGGTTGAAGGTGTCATCGTCTTTGGGCCTATTTGGGTCGAGGACATTTTTTAGCCCTAACAGTTTGCCCCCCACTCTCTGAGTTAAGGAGTACTTAGCTTAGAGAGTAGGCATGACTTGGAGGTGTATCTGGTCAGCCTTCGTGGCCGACCGGTTAAACTTATGAATGTATTACTTCTCTGCTCTCGAGAACGAATGGTGTAGCTCT